TGTGGTACTTTCTCTGTGTGGTTAAGGGGAGCATTTGGCCTTTGGTGCTCACAGAGGCCATTTCATCATGCCTATCAAAAATACAACCAGTCACTGGAGAGTTTTACATAAATTGTTGGATATAGTAGAAGACAGGACATTGCTTCCATGTCCTACACAGAGCAATGTCCCCTAGCTACTATTCTCTCCCTAATAATAACTAGAATAGTCATTATTCAATTCTATGTAGTTGAATTCTATATTTATATAGAATTATACAGTTGCTAGAGTAATTTCATATCTAATCTCCTTTTGACTTTATATGTGAGCTGTCAGTAGCTTCTATAATAACCTGTGAGATAGACTGTCACATGGCAGTTCAAAGCCCTTTCCAATCAGATTCTATCTTATCGATTTCCCTTTATCTACCATCACTGTCAGCAATAGATTCTCATCACATTATACTATTCACCATCTCTTGAATACTGCAAATCCTTCAGCTCCTCTGTGTTTTTACTAAACTGTCTTTTTATAGCCCTTACCTTTTTGAAGAACTCTAACTCAGCCTGTAGTCAGGCCTATATTATTTCTCCTATAGATACATATTCTCCTTTGCTTTGCTTCAGCAGAATTCATTGTTCCCCTTTTGGGCACCCATACTGATAGGATAATATATTACAATGTATTAACTGCATGACCTTGAATAAGTAGCATAACTTCTTTTTTTCTTTCTTTATCTGGAATACCTTTGTATTTTTCAGAGGAAATATATAAAACATACATACCAAAGCATATTATATACAAATATAATAGATTAGTATTAATATTAAAAATATGAACATAGACTTCAGATTATAATTTCAACCAATTTTTTGTGCGTCTGTTTGATTCTTGAGTACAGTAATTCTGTTATATTCACATTTATATCCTAAGCACTGAGCCTAAGTTCTGTTATATAATAAGTCAGATTGACTAATTTGAAGTAAACAAGGAAGATACTGTTATAATTATTTTGCAGATTTGAAATTGAGATCCCAAATGCTAAGTAATGTAATGATTTGACCATTAAGTCCTGTTCACCTTTCCCTGAGTTGACCAAAAGAACTTTCAAGAACCTCTGGAGGACTTGTACTCTGCCTCTACCTAGTTACAAAGCTAGATTTTCTCAAAAATATCATCTGGGACCACCTGTTACAGACTTCTGAAGATGCTTATTGAAAATATAAAATGAAATCTCACAAATGTAATGTTGAGGTAGAAAAAACCAGACACACAAAATCAGAAATGAAAGAGGAAACACTGCTACCAATTTTACAGAAGTAAGAGGATTATAATTGAGGACTGTGAACAACTACATGCCAACAAATTGGATAACAGACAAAATGGTCAAATTCCTAGAAAACACAACCTACCAAGACTGAAATATGAAGAAATAGAACATCAACATCCAAACAGAGCTATAACTAATAAAGACATTGAATCACTAATCAAAACCTCCCAAAAAATAAAACCCAGAACCAGTTGACTTCACTGGTGAATTCTACCAAACGTTTAAAGAAGAATTAACATTAGTTCTTCTCAAACTCTTCCTGAAAATTAAAGAGGAGGTAATACTTTCTAACTCATTCTATGAGGCCAAAGTCAGATAAAGATATTGTAACAGGTCAGGTGCAGTGGCTCAGCCTGTAATTCCTGCACTTTGGGAGGCCGAGGCAAGAGGATGGCCTGAGCCTGGGGGTTTGAGATAAGCCTGGGCAATTTGATAAGACCTCGTCTCTACAATAAATCACAAAAAAAACTAGCTGGGTGTGGTGGCGTGCATTGGAGTTCCAGCTACTTGGAAGACTGAAGTGGAAGGATCGCCTAAGCCCAGTAGGTCAAGGCTGCAGTGGCATTAAGTGGGCCACTGCACTCCAGCCTTGGTGACAAGAGTGACATTCCCAACTAAAAAAAAAAAGATAACAAAAGTACTGACCAATATACCATATGAATATTGATTTAAAAATTCTCAAGAAAACACTGACCAACAGAATTCTACAGCACATTAAATTGATTATACAACACGATCAAGGGTGATTTATTTCTGGAATGCAAGGATGGTTTGACATATGAAAATCAATCAATGGATTGATCAATGACATTCCCAAAGAAGGAGAAGACAAATCCCATGGTCATCTCAGTTGGGATACTGAAAAATAATTTGAGAAAATTAAGTATTCTTTTATGATAAAAATACTCAACAAACTAGAGATATAAGGAAAGTTCCCCCAACATAATAAGCACCATGTCTGAAAAGCCCACAGATACATTATACTCAATGGTTAAAGACTGAAAGTCAACATACAAAAGTCAGTTGCCTTTTTATATAGTAACAATGAACAATCTGAAAAGGAAATTGAGAAAGTAATTCCATTATAATGGCTTGAGAAAGAATAAAATACTTAGGAATAAGCTTAGTGAAGAAAGCTAAAGTTGTATACACTGAAAACTATGAAGCACTACTAAAAAAATTAGAGAAAAGATAAATAAGTGGAAAGACATCCCTTGTTTATGGATTAAAAGACTTAATATTGTTAAGATCTTACTACTACCCAAATTGATCTACAGTTTTAAAATAATTCATATCAAAATCCCAACAATGTTTCTTAAAAAAAAACCCAGAAAAACCCATCATAAAATTCGTATGAAATCTTGAGGGATCCTGAATAGCCAATACAGTCTTTAAAAATAAAAACTAATTTGGCGTTCTCATGTTTCCTCATTTCAAAACTTACTGCAAATCTAGAGTAATCGAAACAGTTCTGTACTGACATAAAGGCAGCCATATAAATCAATTGAATAGAATGGAGAGCTCAGAAACAAAACTTCATATATACAGTTAAATGATTTTTTGCAAGGCTGCCAATTAATTAAATTAAATTAAATTTCTCATTTAATTACAGGAAAAGGACAACCTTTTCAACAAATGGTGATGGGAAAACAGGGTATCCACATACAAAAGAATGAAGTTGGGCCCTTACCTGACACCATATACAAAAATTAACTCAAAATGAATCAAAGACCTAAACATTAGAACTCTTAGATGAAAACATAGGGGAAAATCTCACGACACTGGATTTCTCTATGATTTCATGGATATGACACCAAAAGCACAAGCAACAAAAGAAAAATAAATAAATAGAGCTACATCAAAATGTAAACTTTGTGTGCATCAAAGGATACTAACAACTGAGTGGAAAGGGAACTCACAAAATGAAAAATAATATTTAGAGGTTATATAACTGCTAGGGGATTAGGATTCAGACTATTTAAAGAACTCATACAACTCAACAACAACAAAGACCAACCTGATTAAAAAATGGTCAAAGGACTTCAATAGACATTTCTCCAAAGAAGATACATAAATGGCTAGTAAGCACATAAAATGATGTTCAGCATCACTAATCATTAGGGAAATGCAAATCAAAACTTCACACATTAGGATGGCTAATATAAAAGAAAAAACAAACAGCAGGACATAACAAGTGTTGACAAGAATATAAAGTAACTGGAGCACTTGCGTACTGCTGGTGGGAATATAAAATGATACAGTTAATGTGAAAAACAGTATGATGGTTCCTCAAAAAGGTAAAAAATAGAATTATATGATCTAGCAATTCTGCTTCTGGGTATATACCCAAAAGAATTGAAAGCAGGGACTCAAACAAATCTCTGTATACCCATGATCATAGCAGTGTTATTCACATTAGCAAAAGAGGGGAAGCAATCCAAGCATCTACCAGCAGATGAATGTAAAAACAAAATGTGGTATTTTTATGCAAAACAATATTACTCATCTTTAGACAAGGAAATTCTGACACATGCTGCAACATGTGTGAATCTTGAAGACATTATGCTAAGTGAAATAAATAAACCAGTCACAAAAAGACAAATACTGTATGATTCCACTTATACAGGGTACATAGAGACAGAAAGTAGAATGGTGGTTGCCAGAGGTGGGGGCAAGGGAGAACAGGAGTTATTATTTAATGGGTACAGTTTCAGTTTTGCAAGATGAAAAAGGTTCTGAAGATGGAAGGAGGTAATGGTTGTACAACAATGCAAATATACTTAATGCCACTGAATTATACTTTTAAAATGATTCAGATGATAAGTTTAATGTTATGTGTATTTTTATCACAATCTTAAAAATATTTAAAAATTTAAAAAACAAGACACCAAATAATGAATACTGTATTATTTCACTTATTTAAGGTGTAAAAATTGATTGCTGGTGTTAGATGTCAGGACAGCAGTTACTCTTGGGAGATGAGAGTAACTGGAAAGAAGCATGAAGAAGCTTCTGGGATACTGGTGATGTTCTATTTTTTGATCTGGGTGCTATGACATGGATGTTTCCATTCTGTGAAATCCTTTGGACTATATATTTACAATTTGTACATTTTTCTGTATGAATGTTACGCTTCAGAAAAAGTTCTTAAAATGTTGATTATGGACCCCACAGCAGGTCTATGGAGTCAGAATCTCTGGGGGTAGGAACTGGGGAACTTGCTTTTAAAAATCTCCCTTCCAAAAGTTTTTTTAAGAACATTGGATTTTGAGAATTTTTGCTAAAAGAAAGGGATTAGGTAAATATTCTCTCAATGCCCAAGAATTTTTCAGTTCTACCCTAGCAATAAATATTCCTTAGGAAAGAAATTTGTAATTTCCTTGAGTCACTTACCTTCTCCTCTTAGGAAAATACATGTAATTTTTCAAGTGTGAGACAGAGAACTAAGAAATCAATGACATATAAAAATACATAGTTCTATATTTTTGTTCAGAGATATTAGTCTAATGTGTCATGCATGCTATAATTTATTAATACTGGAAAGGTGGAAAACAATTTTATTGAGACTTCCTAAAATATGGCAAGCGCTAGGACCTCATGGAATTCAGGCAACTTCAGTAGGAGGTGAAACATCAAATCATGGGGTGTGGTGTCTTCTAAGCAGTTACAGAAAAGCCAGTTCTTCCACATGTAAGTTACCAGGACTCCACTTCATCTCTCTTCGTACCATCTTCATGATTTCAGCAGCTTTTATAATTGCTTGTTAAATTGAAAGCATGTTTCTTGCCAAAGCTATATTGGAAGGAGCAGATAGAGGTCTTGGAGAAGCTCTTGGAGGCCTTCTTGGAGGAGGTGGTCAGAGGAGAAGAGGAGGAAGAGGAGGAGGAAATATTGGAGGGATAGTTGGAGGAATTGTGAATTTTATCAATGAGGCTGCAGCAGCTCAGTATACTCCAGAACCACCTCCCACTCAGCAGCATTTCACCAATGTGGAGGCCTCAGAAAGTGAGGAAGTTAGGCGGTTTCGGCAACAGTTTGCACAGCTGGCTGGACCAGACATGGAGGTGGGTGCCACTGACCTAATGAATATTCTCAACAAAGTTCTTTCTAAGCACAAGGATCTGAAGACCAATGGCTTTAGTCTTGATACCTGCCGGAGCATAGTGTCTGTTATGGACAGTGACACAACTGGAAAGCTGGGCTTTGAAGAATTTAAGTATCTGTGGAACAACATCAAGAAATGGCAGTGTGTTTATAAGCAGTATGACAGGGACCATTCTGGGTCTTTGGGAAGTTCTCAGCTGCAGGGAGCTCTGCAGGCAGCTGGCTTCCAGCTAAATGAACAACTTTACCAAATGATTGTCCGCCGGTATGCTGATGAGGATGGAGGTATGGATTTTAACAACTTCATCAGCTGCCTGGTTCGCCTGGATGCCATGTTTCGTGCTTTTAAGTCTCTAGACAGAGATGCAGATGGCCTGATTCAAGTTTCTATCCAAGAATGGCTGCAGCTGACTATGTATTCCTGAAGTGGACACTGAGAAGTCAAGACCCTTTCTAGAAGCAGGACTTCTAAAAGCTTGTCCACTTAGTTGCTGATACCCTGCTGTCATTTCCTGACGAGCTCTCTTACGACGCTACTTACTTTTGATCATGTACTACCTTTTACTGCTTAATTAAAACAGTTATTTCATGAAAGATGTTCTGAGTGGTTTGTATATCAACTTTTTGATTACTAGATTTGTGTGTGTGTGTGTGTGTGTGTGTGTGTGTGTGTGTGTGTGTGTGAGAGAGTGATGGGGGATATGGGGCAGAGTTCTAATAGAATAGATTTTTAAAAGGATGTTGCTTATTTAGTGAATGGACTTCAAGGAGTAGGAACTTTTACCTTATTGTTGGTAAGAATGAAATTTTAAAAAAATATTGTAATAGATATAAAAGCCACTTAGGAGACATATTTTTCCCTTTAAAAAGGTGAGGAGGAAAGTTCAAAATCTGTTTTTCTCATAATTTTGCATCTGGTCTTTCCATTATGTAAAAAAATGAAAAGTGCTTTCCAGGAAACTTATCTAATGTATAGAAACAGGTTTAGAAAATGGAATTAAACAATCTTATATAAGGGTAAATTGTTTAAAATGATGGAGAAACTATCTAAAATTCTAGTTCTTTAGTTCTGTTTTGTTAGTAAAAGAAACATATAGCAATTTTGTTTTGATATATTTGTCAAATATATAGAGAGTCAAAGGCATTGAGAATAAAAGAGTAAACCCATAGTTCAAAAATGTCTCTGACTGCCTTAATGAATCAAAATAATCACTCTTAAACATACTTCATACAAAATCAGGCATGCCCTGCTGATGTCAGCCAGCTCTTGTCATGTCTTGCCCTGCCTTAGAGCAAGGAAAATTATTTTGTTTGCCTTTGAAAACTACAGGCAGGAAACAAGCAAACAAAGAAAAAGAAAAACACATAAATCGTAACCAGTTAAATGGAATATAAAGCAAAATAGAGAACATATATTGCTGACTATTGCAATGTTTCTCAGCCCTGGCTATAGTTTAGAGTTACTGGGAGATCTCTTTAGGAATACTAATGCTTGAGTTCCCCTCCAAATATGTCAAATAAGACTCTTTAGAGGTGGGACCCAGAGATGAATATTTTTAAAGCTCCCCCAAGTGATTCTAATGAGCAGCCAAGGTTGACAGCCCTGAATGCTTTAAAGTAGGGCTGTCTCACAGTATTTTTCAAATCTGTCTCAGCCAAAACTGAAGCCAAACAGGAAAGTCAGTGTTGCCAGCATCCAGGAGGAGTAAGTTAGTAATACCAAGAAACTGGCATCCAGAAGCTGGGATAGTCATGCCTTTCTTGTGTGTAGCCTTTGATTTGTCTTTATAATTTTGATACAGGCTATTATAGCAGAGCAAGCAGAATCCAGAATCCCAGTGCCAGTAGACTCAGCTAGTAAGGCTGCATTTGCAAGTGCTGGGTTGCTCTGCCTGCTATTTAGTTGGTCTTTATCCTTTCTGCTTCTCTGGTTTTTAATGCATCCTCTCTATCCCAGGTTACTTTGGAGAGTCCTGTTTAAAGACAAATTCTTCCTTCCTCTTTAGACTTATTTAGAAGAAAGTTGTAACTATGGAAATGATGTAACTAGCCTGTTAACAGCCCCCAGCTGCCTGTTAGAAATCCCCAGTGAAATGTGGCGAGATTGGCATTTGGCCTCTGTGTTCACCATTATCACCATATAATATTCATGAAACACCACACACACACATAATTTTGAAATGAGCCAAGCACTGAGATCACATTCACTTTCCTCAAGGGACTTGTAATTTAACTTGGTCTGGTATGCTACTTAGACCAGGTATGGTTATATAAGAATGAGGCTGCTGCCAGCAACCACACATTAATATCAGTCTCTTTTTTAGAATAAGCCCAAGAATATGTTAGGCATGATGTAGGAGAGTAGCCAAGAAAGAGGAAAGTGCCAGGTGTCTTTTAAGGTCTCAGAATTTTAAGTTTATATTTAGCATCTCCTCCACATTATGGTTGTGGAAAGGACAGTGTAGCCACATTCCTGTTGCTCATTTCACTGTAAATGTCTTATACAAGTTAAGACTATCATCTCACACTAGTGTGGTATTAAGTATTTCCCTTGCATTTCAAGTTGTGTACCTACTTTTGTGATTCTTTTTTAGCATGTTCATGAAAAGCCATTCTGAAGCGTCCTAAGTTTCCCTTCTGTTCTCTTCTGAATTTGTGTAAAATTGTATAAATAACCTGATGTCAGAATGGATACTAGAAAATTTACTCAAACTTTGAATTTTTCCAAGTAACCAAATATTTGGCATTGTGTACAAACAATAGCCTAACAAGTGACTGAATTTCTTAGTTTTCTCCTAATATTTGATGTTTTAAAGGCACATTATCTATGTAAAAGAAGTATTTACTTGACAACTTTTAAAATATTTATCTATTTCTACATAGATGACTACTTAAAGCCTAAGATGAAGGTCTTTGATTCATATAACTCCATGCCATTATTTTTCAATTTCTAACATGAAGCAATATAAGCAATATAGTAAACTGAAAATAACATTCAGTGATAAAAATATATAAAAGTATTCATCTATATTTTAAAATTTCAGAATACGCCACATGATCTTGAAAAGTAGCTTTATTTTTTATATAATCCACTAAATTCTATAACTTGTATGAAAGGAAAAAGAACTGTGTGTTCTGTACTTAAGAATAGCAAAATTTCAAAAACATTGAAAATTTATATGTGATCTTATCTCGCCGGGCTCAGTGGCTCAGCCTGTAATCCCGCACCTTTGGGAGGCTGAGGTGAGTGGATTGCCTGAGCCCGCGGGTTTGAGACCCGCCTGGGCTGCGAGACCTCATCTCTACAACAAATCAAAAAATCAGCCGGGCGTGGTAGCTCATGCCTATAATTCTGGCTACTTGGAAGACTGAGGTGGAAGGATCGCCGGAGCCCAGCAGGTCAAGGCTGCGGTGGCCGGGAGCAGCCACTGCACTCCAGTCTGGGCAACAGAGTGAGACTCCAACTCAAAAAAAAAAAAAAAAAAGTTGATTTATCTAATAACCTCGGTTGGAACTCTTATCAGTAGTATTACACAACTATCCATAGTGGAGACTTTATTTTTTTTTTATTTTTTTATTTTCAAGATGTATGGTACAATTCAGGATTAGTTTTGCAAATAGTCATTGTGTAGATAAAGTTTGGGCCTCACTTTTGTCCCCACTTCACCTGGTTTAAGATAAGGTACACTTATTGATGAAGTGTGCCCTCCTCCCTCCCCTGGCAGTTTCCCACTGCTGCCAATCCCTTTCTTATAATATTATTATAATTTCCCAGTGTTTGCTTGTAAGTGAGAACATATGGTACTCAGTTGTTTCTGTGATAAATCACTCAGTATTATAGACTCTAAGTCCATCCAAGTTGCTGTGAAGTTCATAATTTTCTCCTTTATGGCTACATAATATTTCATCGTGTATATGTACCACATTTTTGTTTATCCAGTCCTCTTTGGATGTCTTTACTATTGTAAATAATGCTGCAGTGAACATGCATGTACAGTTATCTTTTTCACAGAGTGGTTTGAGTTCCTCCGAGGGTATTCCCTGAAAGGGGATTGCAGGGTCATATGGGATGTCGATTTTTAGATCTTTTAGGAATCACCAAACCATTTTCCAAGGAGGTTATACTAGTTTACACTCCCACCAACAGTCTAGAAGTATTCCCTTTTCCCCGCGTCTTCTCCAGCATCTGTTGTTTTTGAGTTATTGATGATGCCCATCCTGACTGGAGTTAGGTAGTATCAGTGGAGACTTTAAAACTATTTGTGGAGATACCTACAGGGTACTGATATTGAATGTGCCTATTGATCTGGAAGAATCTTCAGGATTACTTTTTTTAAATGTTTATGTACATTAAAACAATTTAATCCCTAGAAAATTGGCACAAGTTTATATGAGGGTAGAAATGTGCTCTTAATTAGAATATTTGGGTAAACAAAATACCTTTTCCCAGACTCTTCTGGATAACTGAGAATTGAATGTATTTTAATAATGATCCTCCTTTGAATTTATAGAATATCTTCAAAGACAACCTTATTTTTTTGATTGCTGCCAAGTAAACTGTTTTATGTAAACATTTTAAAATTATGTTGAGGACACTGATTATCTCTCATTTGCAGAAATGATATTATATCAGTCATAACACAACAAAGAAAACAGTTCCTATCCTTGGGAGTTTGTCTTTGCAAAATGCATTCAAAACCATATCCTTAGATAATTTTGCTAGACATAAAAGTTATAATGAGTATCAAATTCCATATGAATTAAAATGTTGCATAAATTCAACTATGCAACAACCTTAGGGTACTGATATCTGAGAATGAGACACATGAGAATCACCATTTTTTTTCCCTGAGATTTTAAATGGACAATATGTGAACAAATGGCCTAGAAATTCCCACTGGCCCTGGAAGCCAGTGTTGTATGACTGAGCAGATGAGAGGTGCAGGAAGCCTGTGAGTTCATAGTACCCCTCATCCCCCAACACACTTCCATGTTTTTCTGATCCTGCTGACCTCCCGGAAGGGGATGAGTCACTGACTGGAGTTTCAGTGAGGCTTAGTCATCCCTTTTTGCAGCACCTTAGATCCAACTTTAGGCTGGTTTGGGCTCCAGGTGAAGACAGGTTATGAAGGGATTATGGCCTCCCTCCAAAAGAGCTGTTCTCCTTTGAAATGTGGCCCTGAAATATTTTCAAACCTAGATTCTTTTATTAAGTTCATAATGTTCCCTGGTGACCTCAGTAAGTTTTTAAAGGAAAGAACCACAGATTTATGGAATAATTTTTGTCATGAAACATTCAGAATTTACAAATTAGAAGATTATATTTTACTATATAATTTTAATGTTTTTTAGAGACAGTTTATCAAGATATGTGATTGGCAGTCAGATTGCCTAAATTTTTATTGTAGCTATGGCAATAGTGAGTTTTGTAACCTCAAGTGAAATTTATATCTGTTTTTTCAGTAAAAGTTGAGTGGATTATTTATAAGATTCCTTCCAGTTCTTAATTGTATTATTCTGAATTTGGAACCTTAACAATATATTTTTTGTCAATCCAATAATATAATCTCTCAGAGTAATTTCCATGCTGCTTTTGTTCCCTTCATATCACTAGGATGAAAACTTTCTTATATTTTCTCATATGATTGATCATCAAAGGTCTACTTTAACATTCTTTTGTCATTTAAAACCATGCATATGTACATGAGAGTTAGAGGTTCAGAATGTCATCTTGTTCTGTGACTAGTGATAATATTAAAGATTCATTACATTTCCATTTCTTCATCTGCAAAATGAGTTATGATACTTGACCTGTGTTATACATAGGGTTTGGTGGTATAGATAAAAATTTGATATCTCACAATAAAGAAACAACATAAGTTCAAAGGAGTACTTCTAATCATATAGACAATCTATGTTAGTTACTTCGGTGTCCATAGATCATTCTTAGATCTGTTCTTAAGAAATTCTATTCAAGATTTCTATGTTGCTTAGTAGAGAAAGCTAATTGCAGAAGAATTTATCTATGTTGAGCAATATAGCTATGACTCAATAAGCTCCTCAATCTCTAAGGTTCAGTAAAAACAGCTTTCCATAGTGCTTAAGAAAATTAAATAGGCCAGGCACAGAGGCTCACGTCTGGAATTCCAGCATTTTGGGAGGAAGAGGTAAGAGGATTGCCTGAGCCCAGGGGTTCGAGACCAGCCTGGGCAACTTGGTGAGCCCTCATCTCTACAATAACTCAAAAAATTAGTCACACATGGTGGCGTTCATCTGTAGTTTCAGCTACTTGGAAAGCTGAGGCAAAAAGTGCCACTGCACTCCAGCCTGGGTGACAGAGTGAGACTCCGACTCAAAAAAAAAAAAAATTAAAATTAAATAGTGGTGGACAAGAAGAAAATTATTTCCCTTAATATTCTGCCTTCTCTGAAAATTCTGAGTTGATGAAATGTGGATATAGTTTGTAGTTATGCTGGTGTTTATATTTGTCAAAATATATCAAAGTAAGCAGGGCATAAGTGACGCATGCCTGTAGACCCAGCAACTTGGGAGTCTGAGGCCTCCTCTCTTGAAGGAAAGTATCTGAGGCCAAGTGTAGCTATGATCGCACCTGTGAATAGCCACTGCACTCCAGCCTGGGCGAGTTAGTAAGACCCCATCTTTCAGCAAAACTAAACTAAAAACACAAATCAAACTGTACATTTAAAATGGATGAATGCTGTTGAATGTAAATGATACCTCAATAAAGTTAAGAAAGAAAAAAAACCAGTCTCATAGGCTGATAGCCAGACAAAAATGGAAGTCAGATGACATGAAATTTTGTCTCAGAATAAACCTTGTTACTTTAAGGAAGTCTTTAAACCTCTATTTCTACCTTCTATGGTGTGGGAAAGTGAGACTGAGTTTTGTTCCCTTTAGTTTCCGTCTTGCAGTCAAGAATTAAGTGATTCTTGACTTTTCTGAATCTTGTTGCTTTGAAAAGCTGATAAAAGCTACATTTTTTCCCTAGAAAGAATGTACATACAAAAATTGCGTATCATTTCAGGGGCTTTCCAAAACCCCGTTCCCCAAATTCATTCATAAAATCCCAGTGAATAATGTTTGCCTTAGTGTTTTAAAGCAAAAGTTCTGTAAACCCAGAGTGGCAGGAAAGGGTAGATGACAAAAAGATAATATTTTTTTTTAGCATGTATCTATGTGCTAGGCAATGGGAATGCACTGCCACATACACAAAGAAAGCAATTCTCGCCTTTAAGGAACTTTTGATGATTGAGCTATAGATACTTAGTCACAGTTGAAGATCTTGCTGTTGTTGATGCCAAACATTATTTGTTAATCTGTCTAGTTAAGTACTATACTAGCTTTGTTGTTACTAGTTCATAGTTTATCTTGGAATTTATCACTTGAAAATTTTGTTGCCAAAATGATTCTAACACCTGGGATTATAATCAAGTACTTGTTTACAGTTTTTCTTTCTCACTCCTCCTTCCCTCTTTCCATCTTTCTCTTCCACTCTCTGTCTCATTTTCCTTTCTTCCCTTCTCCTCCTCCTATTTAGCACACTCTCTCTCTCTCTCTCTCTCTCTCTCTCTCTCTCTCTCTCTCCTCTCTTCTCTCTTCCTTCAGTCTCCCTCACTCTCTATCTTATCTCTCCTTTTTTTCTTAAGCTTTCTTTGTTCCATTTTTTATCCTCTCAGTGTCCCCGTCTAGGCAAAGAGTTAATGTATAGGGACAATTCTGTATTTAATCTGCCTAAATTAGAAATATCAAATCTTTCTTTTATATTGCCTCCTGGACCATATTATACTAGTTATATTTTATATTCACTGGCTTAGAAGTACAGGATCTTCTGAAATGATAGCCTCAAGGGCTATTAAAGTTGCCTAAATTTGCTTACCTTGCTTCTGGTTTACAGCAGATTAAGCCAGGAAGAAAGAAAGAATGTGGCTGTGATTACTGCCTCAGTTTACTCTTTTTCTTTCCCTTCCACTTTCTACATATAGAGGATTGCTTAGTAACCCTGTAGGGCCTCTAATGATCCTTTAGTGTTGGCCTTTATGGCAGGATCACCATTAATGGTAGAATGAATGCTTCTATCCCACCAAGGATGGAACTCTCATATATCCTACCTCCCAGAGGGTCCCTCATAAAAGCTGAGCTCAAGAATCCACATTGGGTGCCATAGAGCCACTCTAAATGGTCCTGGTGATAAAATATTTATACTTATTGCTAACAGAAAATGTATTTGTCTTCCTTCTTGGGAATGGGTGGGCCACTTTCTTACTTTTCCATGTCAGTGAGAATTTTTCTCCATGTGGGCCCAATGCATGATGATGTTGAATTGTATGGCATACCTGAATTTCACCTTACCGTATAATTAATAGTAATTCAACTAGTTTCCCTCCTAACTGATTTCTCCCATCCTTTCACAGAATCATGATGGCAGTATCGACTTCCGAGAGTATGTGATTGGCCTGGCTGTCTTGTGCAACCCTGCCAACACAGAGGAGATCATCCAGGTGGCATTTAAGGTACTGTCAGCCCCACTTAAAGCATCTTGGTCTGTCTCATAAACAAGTGCTGACTCTAAGTGTATTATTTGAAAATCAGTGAATCTGTTACATGAGTTTATAGATCTACTGTGACATGCACAGGAGAATAATGTGATTAAGTTAGTTGGTATTGAGAATAAAGAAAACATAAGCATTCATTTAAGCAAAAAGTCTTTGGAAGTAGCCTAGTTAATAGCATCAAGATTTAAGAGCAGGTGATTTCACAAATTAACTTAAAAAATTATTTCTTTTCAGCCTCCTAATTTGGAAACCCCAAAGGAAATTTTATAAATAAACACCACCTGTCATCAGTCATCCTAATTCACTATCTGGGAAGTTCTTATCTGTCCTTATTTTGTCATTCTGAATGTTGGAGATATTTAAAGTGTTATTTTTAAAATAGAATTTGTTTGTCATTGTAGTGTCAGGTGAACACCATCATAAATGCCCCAAATTTTTACCTCACATATCTTCTATAGTATCACATATACTTTCACAGCAATACAGAGTTCTAAATTAGGAACAATGAATAAAATTCATGTCCCTGATCCCCACAGAGCTTAGTGGAAGTGTGAATTGTAAGGACCCAGACTCCACTTACAAGTGTAAAAAAAGAGAGAAGAATACCTTTCTAAAGTGTGTTTTCGGTTCTGAGAGTAAAGGTGCTTCATCTACTTAGTGTTTAAGTACAATGTTCCACTTGAGTTCTAAGCTTATATGGTCAGTTCTCAAGTGAAACAGAAACTTGATTTCCCTATTTGTTTTCTGAAGCTGTGTATATCAACTCTTGTTTTACAGCCATTTAGTTGCTTTGCATTCATCCAGCTGAAGAGCTGAGGACCTTCTTTGTTTCTGTCTCCTACTCTTATCTCTTCCTGACTTTCTCAGAGAGGAATATCCTTCTATGACTTCCACAAGATTTTTTTCCCCTTGATTATCTGGAAAGACTCTCTTCTTCCAAGAGTTCTTTCTCACATCTTAGAGGCCACCAGGGATAGCCACAGGAATTTTCATGTGCTCTGTCATTGACAGAAGAGCCCCTGAGTTTACTTTTTATTTCAGATCTGTTTAAACTGAGTTAGCTGCTAGGCCTATAAAGAACCTAAGTGGTTGATGCTTAGCAGATGGTCATAAGACTAGGACCAGAATTTTTTCCAAAGTTTAAAACCTTCAACTTTTACAGACTTATTCATCATAAAACCTAAAATTACACACATAACTAACTTATTCCAAATCTAGATTTTTCTGTTTCTGTTTTGAGATTGCATGTGTAATTATAAGTTTAGTTGGGCAAATGGTCACTTTTGGTTTACCAATGAAAGACCTGATAGAAAATTTGGCCCTTAATCACAATAATTACTGTGTTAAAGAAGTCATGAGATTTTTTATCTAGCCTAGACCTTGGTTTGGTGATGGGAGAGGGAAAAAAAGAGGACATAAAGCTATAATTACCTTTTTTTTTCAGTAAGGCAAGGTTCATGCTTTACAGTGATTATTTTTTAAGCTTCCTTTTCAGGTATTTTTTATGTTTTGGGAATATTTTTTCATACTTTCATTTTTCATTTAGTAGTACCATTTTATGTATAGGATCCTTTTATTTGGATAATACCTCACATTTAACTTCCCATCCTTTATCTCATTTCACCTTCACAATGACCTTTAGAGGTAGACTGCTAATTAGGATTCTTAAGCTGCAAGCATTAGGATAGACTAACTGGCTATCTGATGCCAAAGTGTAATTAACTTTAAGGCCAATGAGTAAACTAAAAGGAAAACTTAGAACCAGGAAGTCCCAGAGGTCCTGGCTATAGGAACTACCCTATACCCTGCCTTGGGCACCACAGTTAAAATTAGCAAACTCCAGCTCTGTTCATAATTCACATTCCAGGGAGGGTCCAAATAGTCTTGTGCTATGTGCTTGATAGGAAAGACAGAGTGTTTTGATTGTGTCCCACAATATTCTATGCAATGAGGAGGTATCATTCCCCCAAAGCAAACTGAAATGTTAAACTTTCTGCCAGAGCCCAGATCATGGGGTTTACCATAGATCTGAGAACTTTGTAGCAGACAGTGATGAGTAAGAGAGGGAAACTGAGGAAGTTAATTAGGGTAATTGTGGCAAAGGACAGATGTACAGGAAATAAGTCTCCAGTATGGACTGGGTAAAGGGAACTTATACAGAAATTGGAGCCACAAAGCACCAAATCTAGCCAGAAGTTATACTGTTCAGATAAGTTGGTGAGATTTATTTAGAAATAGAAGGCCTTTGAAGAAAGCTTGCAAGGAGTGGGCTGTGACTGAATCCTGGCAATTACTGTTTGAAGTCCAGGGTGCATAGAAAGTCTGGGGTCTAAAGCTTGTGGAAACAGATGCTAATTTACTTTTCACTGTCCAACAGTCTTATTCACCAATTAGGCTCTGAGTAGTATGAAATGGACTAGAAGCCATTGCTTTCCCAGTTAGAACAATAATCCCAACTTCTAGCTGTATTCTTTCCTTCCTGTCCTTAAGGACTCTATTCAATATTTGCTTTTTATTATTTTTATGATTATTACACCTTATCTAATGCCTGTTTTTCTCTGGTTTTGATCTTGTATTTGATCAGAAGTAGAGACCTCAACTGCAGGAACTCTAGATAAACTCTACCTGGATTTGGACGCCAGCTTACCACTTACGAGTTGGTTGGCTTTGGGAGAAGTTATCTAACTTTGAGTCTCAGTTCTCCCATCTGTAGGACAGGGCTGACAGTGACACTACCTGACTATTGTGATGATTATGTGAGTTAATTCATATATAAAGTGATTTGAACACTTTTGATCAGTGCCTGTAAAGAGTAAGTACTTATATCATTATAAATTATTAATACCCTGGAGAGAATTTTGAATATGGGATATTAATTATCTATCAGTTATTCCTATTTTGCTGCTTGACTTTCAGTCTTTCCCACACTATTCCCTTTTCTCCTCCATCTAAAAACATACTCATTCTCTGTCTTCCTAAAGACAACCTCCTTTTGTCTTGGCTACTATCTCATTTATCTCTTTTCCCTTTATCCCATAATTTCTTAAAAAGAAGAGTATATACTTCTCGTCTTCACTTTTACTTCTGTTCATCCCTCGATTCCCATTACTATCTGGCTTTAGTTCCCTGAAACTGTATTTACTAAAGTCATCAGGATCTCCTGATAACCAAATCCTGCAAACCATATTGCTGTTTCTTCAGCATTTCTATGGTATTTTACTTTGTTGGCCCTTGCCACTATCAGGATCTCTTCTTCCCTGAAACCCTTTCTTAGCTTCCAAGTTGCATGTTCTTTTCTGCTTCTCCTGTCTGACTGCTTTTTCTAAGTCTTCTCTGTCAGATCCTCTTCCCTACTCGCATCTCAGCTGTTGTTCTTCCCAAGCCTTTGCTTTATTTACATTCTCTACAGATAAGCTCGAATACACCCTAATTTCAGTTCTTACCTGAATTCATATCTCAAACCTCATCAGTCTTCTAAACTTATATGCTGAAGTTCTTTCTTATTCCTGACACCTGTGACTCATTTAATCTATACAGGTTCAACTCTTGATCTCATTGTTCTTCTGTTTTCCCTCTCTTAGTTAATATAACCAGTTTTTACCCAGTTGCCCAGGCTAGAAAATCTCAGCCATCTTTGGCTCCTTCCTTTTCATCACTCCAGACTTCTTACTGATATGTAAATCCTATCTTTGCTTTTTTATAAATTCTGTCCCTTCCTATCCTTCATGCCCCTCTACCCCAGATTCCTAATTGGTTTTCTGACCTCTGATCTTATCAACCTTCCGCCCCCAATCTATTCTCCACACTTTCTCAAAAAGTTATCTTCGTTCTAAGATACATCACTTCCTCTCCCATCATAATCCTACAGGATTAAGTGAAGAATGATCTGATTCCTGCTTGTGGCTATATTGACTGGAGCCCCTCAAGCAATCACCTGTCATTTCTTGTATATTCTGGGAACATCTCTTCATGTTCTGAGACCAAACTTCACGTTCTCTTCATGTTCTCTACATGTCAACTTCTGTAAAACCTCTAACTTCTTTGTGTAGGATTCAGCATGCTTCACACATGGCTCCCCTGTCCCTTTGTACCACATACTATTGGTATAGACTGTATATTAATTCTGATTTTTTTCTACCACCAAACTGTAAGTGTTGTGAGGGTAACAGAGACCATAATTTTTTCATATGCATATTCCTATCCCCTGCACAGTAAATGTTTGAATTATTAAAGAATGTATTTTCTAAGATTATTCAATATCACTATTGCTCTGAGGGAGCTAATTCTTATATTTTATTTTCTTTTTCCTTCAGCTCTTTGATGTTGATGAGGATGGCTACATAACAGAGGAAGAGTTTTCCACTATTCTGCAGGCTTCTCTTGGAGTGCCTGACCTTGATGTTTCTTGTCTCTTCAAGGAAATAGCCCAAGGGGACTCTATTTCCTACGGTGAGTAGGCAATTTTGACCTCCTGATTCAGTTTACAAGGAGAGTATCTTGATATTCAAGAGTATTGTTTCCCTTGACTAATTATATTAATAATAGATAGTATTATGATAATAATTATGTTGGTATTATTGACAAATTATTTATTATTATACAATAACAATAGTGATAGTGATAATGATAGTAATAATACTAGTAGTGGGCACTCATCTAATTATTTTTATAACAAGCCTATTCAATGAGTATTCTTAGTTATTCTTATTTCGCTAAGATAAAAAGAATTTAAGTAACTTATCTAAGGTCATTCAGCTAAAGAACATCAGAGCTAGAATTAAAAACCCAAGACAGTTTGACTTCAGAGCCTGCACCATTGACTCTAGAACTTAGTGCCTCTTATATCTTCTGTCTCTCCTTAAGGGGCTTTTCCTTTTCACTGTCAATGTGGCCAGGCAAAACTGAGCAAGTTAAACAGGTGGGTTGTAACAAAAGTAGAGAAATATGGACTGAGATACCAACAGTAGTAGTAGCTAAACACTTACTGATTTTTACTATTAGCTTATATAAATTTTCACTTTCATTGTCTCATGCCATTTTAATAGCAACCTCCGTGAGTTAGAGACAATCATGGAGCAAGAACTTGTGGCAGAGTAGCAAGTTCATACATCAGTGACCATCCTCTCTCCTGATGGCTCAAGCCCACACATCAAAACAAGTTTCATAGAGCTGAAAGATAGTACATTAGTTTCCCTATATTTCACAGTACAATCATTGAGAAATACACCTCTCTGGAGAGGCCTAGATAATCGTTTCCCTGCCTTAGGTTGATGTGGTTATAAATGTCAAGCTGGCTTACCTTACCCAGTCTTTCCCCTCAGGCTGGAGGGTTATTCCTCTTTAATTATTTTTTCTTTATGGTGTTCAAAGAGGTTTAGCTTGTTAACATTCATGGAATGAAGAAAGTGGACTACATACTTTTCTTATGCTGTTTTTAATTACCGTCATTTTGGCTGTCCTGTATTTTATTTAGGTAATTAAATGCCTAGAGTACTTAATCTATTGTGTTTATTTTTAAAAGATAGGATAAAATGGGGGAGTATGTATGGAGATAAAACTTACGAGTCATAAACCTATGTGTATTTTTTTTTCTTGGGTTGGAGTCTCACTCTGTCACCCAGGGTGGAGTGTAGTGGCCTACTCATGGTCACCGCAGGCTTGACCTGCTGGGCTCAGGCGATCCTTCCACCTCAGCCTTCCAAGTTGCTGGAACTATAGGCCTGCGCCACCATGCCCGGCTAATTTTTTTATTTATTGTAGAGACAAGGTCTCACCAAGTTGCCCAGGTTGGTCTCGAACCCTTGAGCTCAGGCAATCCTCTCGCCTCAGGCTCACAAAGTACTGGGATTACAGGCTTTAGCCACTGCGCCCAGTCTATAAACCTATGTGTATTCATTCTTCTCTGACCATTTTCCTTCTATATGTAAGACCCTCTATTACTCTGAGATACCAAATTTTGAAAAACTATCCAGAATAACTATTTCAATGGGAACTAATACTAAAAATGATTTTTAAGTAGTCATAATTATACCTGACAATTTAAATAATTTTTTAGAGAAATCTGCTTTTTTTTTTGGAGTTAACCTTTTTTTTAACAGAACATACAGAATATCTTCTCTTCTCCAATATTATATAGTCTGCTTTTTTTGCAGGAATGTTATGAGATATTTAGGCATAATTTTGTTTGAAAAGTAGGTATTGATGTATGTCATGAATGTGACCATTTAAATTATTTAAATGTGATTCTTGGCCTGGCACAGTGGCTCACCCTGTAATCCTAGCACTTTGGGAGGCTAAGGCAAGAGGATTGCCTGAGCCCAGGAGATTGAGACCAGGCTGGGCAACATGGCAAGCCCTCATCTCTACAATAAATAAAAAAATTAACCAAGCGTGGTGGCATGCACCTGTAGTCCCAGCTACTTGGAAGTCTGAGGTAAAAGGATTGCCTGAGCCCAGCAGGTAAAGGTTGTGGTAGTTTGGCTTTGCAGAAGCTTGTCAGTTTAATGAGGTCCCATTAGTCTATCTGGACTCCAGCGTGGGTGACAGGGTGAGACTTTGACTAAAAAAAAAAAAGTGATTATTTCAATTGTTTTATTTTTTATTTTTAAATTATGGGGTACAGTTAAGGGTTAGGTATACAAATATGCATCGTTCAGGCACCCTTGTTGATAAAGGGGTATCTCCCCGTCCCCAGACAGATATTGACTACTGTTAATCCCACCTTCCTTCCTCTCCCTGCCCTGCCATAGTTTCCAGTCATTGTCAATCCTTTTCTTATAGTATTACAATAGATGTTCAAGGTCCACTTATGAGTGAGATCATGTGATACTCAGATCTTTGTTTCTATGTGATCACTCAGTATTATAAACTCTAGTTCCATCCAGATTGCTGCAAAGTTCATGATTTTGTTCTTTTTTATGGCTGCACAGTATTCCATCAAGTATATGTACCACCTTTTTTTAATCCAGTCCTCTTCTGATGGACAGCATGGTTGGTTCCAAGTTCTTGCTATTGTGAACAATGCTGCGATAAACATATGTGTGCACCAAGAATAGCCAGGACAATCCTCAGCAAAAAAAATAAATAAATAAAGCAGGAGGTATCACATTACTAGACTTCAAACTTTACTTTAAGGCTACAATAATCAAAACAGCTTGGTATTGGTACAGGAACAGGCATATAGACCAATGGAATAGAATTCAGATTCCAGAAGCAAAACCTCAATTTCTCAACCAACTCATCTTCGACAAAGTCTCCACCACCTACCACTGGAGAGAGGAGAACATATTCAGTAAATGGTGCTGGGAAAACTGTCTGACCACATGCAGAAGAGTCAAACAAGACCCCTATCTATCCCCATACACAAAAATTAACTCTAAATGGATCAGAGACCTAAATGTAAAACCTCAAGCCATAAGAACGTTAGAAAATGCAGGATACACCCTTATGGAAATTGGAACTGGCATCTAATTCCTGAGCGAAACTCAAAATGCACGGGCCATAAGAGATAAGATAGACTAATGGGACCTCATTAAACCAACAAGCTTCTGCAAAGCCAAAGAAACCATCAAGAGAGCAGGAAGACAGCCCACAGACTGGGAAAAATTATTTGCCAACTCCATGTGGCAAAGGCCTAACATCTTGGATCTACAAGGAACTCAAACGCGCTGAAAAGAAAAAAAAATACAACCCCATTACAAAGTGAGCAAAAGATATGAACAGACACTTCTTAAATTGTTTTCATTCTTGGCTTACCATTAGCCAAATTAATGCTCAAATTCCACTTAGACCCAATCACAGCACTTATAGAAATAAGTTGCTTCTTAATGTCACTAACATCCTAATAGAGGATCTTGATCTTTTAAACAGAGCACAAGGCTTGAAATTAAAATTTTGTTGTCAGTAGATCATCAATCATACTCACTGATCTTAGAAGTCACTTGAGTCCTCTTGTGTCTTCACCATTGAAATAGACTTACAGCTGAGCCTTCATTTTAGATGTTAAGAAAAAACAGTAACTTGTCTGATTTGGAAATATAAAATGGTCTCTGAATGTAAAATAATGTTACAGTGTCAAAGAATGATTTGGGCTCATCACTAAGACTTATTATTTTTGTTTTTTGAGTTGGAGTCTCACTCTGACGCCCAGACAGGAGTGCAGTGGCCACTCCCGGCCACCGCAGCCTCACCTGCTGGGCTCCGGCGATCCT